TGAGTACCAGCACCACCTGCCCTTCCGTGGCTGCAAGTTGGAGTCGGAGACGGCGCACGCCTACGCGGACTTTGCCCTGCCGACCCCGTGGGGCTACGTCCTGCTGGAGGTTGACGAGGAGCAGCACAAAGCCTACGACCCCAGCTGCGACGTGCGCAGGGACTTTGACATGGCCGCCAGCGTGGCGCTCGGCAGCGGGCACAAGCTGCTGGTGCTGCGCTACAACCCGGACGCCTTCAAGATCGCCGGCGTGACGCGGCGGACCACCAAGAAGGAGCGCCACGCACAGCTGATCCGCCTGCTGGGAGAGCTGCTGGCGCGCGAGCCGGAGGCGCCTTTCACCCGCCTCTTTCTCTTCTACGACCGGGCCGCGGAGAACAACGCGCTGCCCTGCGTGGCAGAGCACTGGTCCGAGCCCGTGCGCGCCGTGTCCCGCTGCGCCTAGCAGTTTTCTGGGAGACCGGGGCAATCCTGTGTTGGGCACAGGATTGAGGCTTCTACGCCAGGCAGGCGCGGCAGGCGCCAAGCCGCCGAACCCTTACAGTCCCCCGCGTCCTTGCTATACGTGCTATATGTGCTATATGGCTCTTACAAGGCAAGCCACTGAACATCCACTCTCCCCCGGGTTCCTTGCTATATGTGCTATATGTGCTATATGGCCCTATATAGCATATATAGTACAGATTTCGCGCGTACAGAGTATATAGTACATATAGTACATATAGCAAGGAGCTGGGGGAGAGTGGGGGTTCAGCGGCTTGGCGTGTAAGATATAGCACATATAGCACATATAGCAAGGACGCGGGGGAGAGTGGGTTCAGCGGCTTGGCGTGTAAGATATAGCACATATAGCACATATAGCAAGGACGCGGGGGAGAGTGGGTTCAGCGGCTTGGCGCGGCTTCAATGCCGGGCAGGCGCGGCCGGAGTGCCAAGAACATGTTCATCCGACATGTAATCCGACATGTTGAAATTAAGCGCGTATAGCGGCTTGGCGCGGCAGAAATGTGAACACGAGTGGCAATTGTGTTGGCACTTGTGTTGAAGAAATTAAGCGTATAGCAAGAAATCCTGGGGGAATTTCAATGCAGGGTTTCTGCAGGGAATCCCTGCATTCCCTGTATCCCTCTCTTTAGAAGACTTTTCAGCAGTTCTCAGGCGAACCTCTCTCTGTAGAGGGGGTTTTCCAAATGGCTTATATTCTACCTGAGAGGCTTCTAGCACTCGTCCGTCCAGCATTTGACCTCGTCCTGCGAAGGATTCGAAGTCTAAAACGCTGCGTGCAGGCGTGTGGCTGCAAAATAGAGACCCCTAGATATGCGCTGCAATTTGGCTCCAGGTTGCATTTCAAGCGATGTCAAGCTTTGCCAAAGGAAACCCCTTTTCCCTTTTTTTTGGGGACCCCTTTTTTTTGGACCCCTTTTTTTGATTTTTTTTGTTTTTCCTTAGCCCTGCAAAGCTTGGCTCGCTTGAAATGCAACCTGGAGCCAAATTGCAAGCATATCTAGGGGTCTCTATTTTGCAGCCACACGCCTGCACGCAGCGTTTTAGACTTCGAATCCTTCGCAGGACGAGGTCAAATGCTGGACGGACGAGTGCTAGAAGCCTCTCAGGTACAATATAAGCCATTTGGAAAACCCCCTCTAAAGAGAGAGTCTGGCGTCCTGAGCTGCGGGAGCTTGCCCGGGAGTTCGGCTGGGACTGGGGCAGAGTCACAGGGTTCAGGCCCAGGAGAAGGGGCGCGGCGTGTGATTGGTCTCGCCGGACTCTGAAGCCAGACTGTGAGGAGGCGCGCCTGCTTGCGGAGCTGCCTGACAGCATGGCGCGGATGGCGTGGTGTCGCTGTCCCCGCTCGTGGTGCGTGAGCCTCAGCCTTAGCTCCTCGGGTGGCACGTAGCCGCAGCGGCCGACAGCGACGTAGCAGGAAGAAGCCGGTCCGCGTAGCACGTCAGGGGCGCGAGCTCTCGGAGCTTGCCCCTGTAGCGCAGCAAGCTCTTCTCGGGCCCGGGCAGCGGCACTTTCCGAGTGCGCTCGGCTTTCTCTCGATGGCACTGAATATCGCGGTGCCGCTGCCAGGAGGCCTTCTTGGCGAAGCGGGCCATGCGCCTCGGGCCCCCCGCCTGCTGACCAGCGCCTGGAAGTTGTGGATCAGGCTCAGGAGAAGCAGACCGTGCTGGATGACGCCCGTGCCGCTCGGGGCGCGCGCCCGTCCGCCCCCAGGGTTCGCTGCCACGAAGACGAAGACCTCCACCCGCCCGGCGTTGCGGAGCTCGAAGGCCTCGATGTCGTCGAAGCCCACGGGGCGGTCCGTCGGCAGGCCAGAGAAGTCCACCTCCGCGTCGGCCAGAGCGGGCTGCCAGCCCGCGGGGCGGCGTCCGCGGCGGCCGGCCAGCTCGGGGTAGAAGAAGGAGCCTGAGCAGCTCACGGTCTTTGACCGCTCCTGCCAGGTGAGCCCTTCGACCCCGAGGCAGTGCGCGAGGACGCAGCATGAAGCAGCGGTGGTCCTCGTTCTGAGGGTTCCAGATGGCCTTCTTCTTGGCCAGGGTCTCGGGCAGCTCCTTGGGCGCGGGCATGTCGGCCAGCTGCTGCGAGGGCGCGGTCAGCAAATACGCGGCCGTGATGCCCACGACGGTCCAGTCGGACTCGGGGAAGCGGGAGCGCTTGAGCGCGACCTCGAACTTCGTCCTGATGGCCATCATGGTTCCGGCGCGGGCCGACGGAGGCGCGGGCCTCAAAGAGCTCCCTCTCGATCTGGGCCAGCGATGCGACATCGCGCGTGCGAATGCGGCGCTGCCTCAGGGCCTCGCGCTTCTCGCGGAGCGCTTCCATCGGCGCCCAGCTCTCCTCCCCGCACTCCTCGGCCATGGCGGGAGCTGCGCTGCGAGCCGCGCAGGTCTTGCGCCCGCTTCAGCATCTCCTTCCAGTCCTGGATGTCGACCTCCTCCGCCGGGAACCTGCCGGCGAGCCCATCAGCTATCAGCCGCTCCAGCACGGGCGCTCCCCGAGCGAGCTCGTTGTGCAGGCGGCTCACCTCCTCCAGAGAGGCTCCCCGCTTCAGCGCATCGGCATCAACGGCGGCCTTCAGCACAGGCCTCAGCTGCTCGCGGCGCTACCCTTAGCATTGGAGCGCGCCTTGCCCAAGTTCCACATGCTAGCCTGGCTCGTCATCCTTTTCTGTCTCCGATCTAAAAAAGATTGGTCCGAGCATGCGAAACTGCTTGAGCCGCGCCCTCGCCTGTGCGTGCTTCGTTGTGCTGGTGGTGATTGTTAAACATGCCGAGACTGCTGGAGCTGTTTTGCGGCACAAAGTCGATTGGTCGAGCCTTCGAGGCGGCAGGGTGGGAGGTCGTCTCCCTGGACATCGTGTCGAAATTTGAGCCCACGATCCTGTGCGACATCCGGAGCTGGGGCTACACGCTGTTTCCGCTGGGGCACTTTGACATGGTCTGGGCCAGCCCGGTCTGCACGGAGTACAGCCGAGCTCTGACGATGCGCCCTCGACGACTCGAGGAGGGCGACGCTGTGGTGCTCAGAGCCCTTGAGATCATGGCGCGCTTCGACCCGCTCATGTGAGTCATCGAGAATCCGCCTACCCTGGGTGGACGTTACCTACTGCAAGTACGGGACTCCGTACAGGAAGCAGACCCGGCTGTGGACCAACATGCGCTGGAGGCCGAGCCGAGAACAGTGCGGCAGCCGGTGCGATGCGTGGGAAGACGGGAGGCGCCCAAGGGGGGCCTCGACTCATGGGGGGCCAGCGCGAGAGGGTCAGAGGGCAGTCGCGCGGGCTGCTTTACAGCATTCCTACGGCGCTGTGCGAGGAGATTGCGAGCGCGGCCACGGCAGAGCTTGCGGATCGGCTGAGCACCCCGGACTGAGCCGAGGATCATTTTTTGCTTTTCCTGAACCGAAGGTTCATAAAGTTTTATAGGTGCAGGTGTGATCGTGCTCGCTGTGTTGAAAGAACAGTGAGCCTGAAAATCCAGAACTTGCGGACTGTTTCCCTCGAAGAGTGGGCTTGGTAAGGAACCAAGCCAAACGTGTGGAGCCCTTGGCAACCCTCAGCCGAAAATGGTTCGGTTTGGGGGCCGATGATTTAGTTTTTGAAATCTCGATGGATGTGATTTCTTTCTCGGTGCGTACAGGGGAAATCCGGGTCTGAGGGAAAGACTGTTTTCACTTTTGGCATTTTCCGCTCTGAGATTGCCTTTGTGAACGAAGCCAAGAACCTCATTCACCCCTTTGATTCCTGCTGCTCCCTGTCGGATCATATGCTTAGGGCCTTTGCCTTTATGCTGAAGGAAGGCCCACTTGCAGTCATGAAGTACCGATTGACAATGGTTCAGAAATGGAGACAATATGCGAACGACCTTGCTGAACAGGAGGCTGCGTTACATCGCTCCCTTCCTGCCGGTGTTGCAAAAGTTTTGGCAGGGAAAAACCTTTTGCTGCTGGAAAAAATTGCGACTGACCTCGGATGGGACGACACTCGCATTCACCAAGACATACGAGAGGGCTTCCTTCTGACCGGAAATCCTACGCCTTCAGGTATTTTCGAACCAGTCTTTCGGCCCGCTGCTTTTGAAGTAGACGAACTTTGGAGGAGGCAAAATTTTGTCAAGCCAGCTTTGTTGGCTAAGGTTTCGAACCAACCTCTACAAGACTTCTCTCAGGACATCTGGGGCACAACAATTGAAGAGTGCGAGAGCAAGCAATGGCTTGAAGGCCCCTTCACGGTGGAGCAGCTTGATACAAAATACCCTGACGGTTGGATTCCTTGCAGACGCTTTGCAGTCTGGCAACGAGAGAAATGGAGACCTATAGATGATTTCTCGGAGAACTCTGTTAACTCTTGCTATTCGGTGTGCGATAAGATCGACCTGAAGGCGCTTGATGAGACAGTTTGGACTGCCATGACAATTATGAGATTGGTGCGTGGTAAGGGGCATTTCTCCTTCCATCTCAAAGACGGGACTCGTCTGAGTGGGAAGTTGCATGAGGCCTGGACCGAGCACCCTGAGCTTGCCCGCCCAGTTGTCAAGACCTTTGACTTGAAGTCTGCGTACAAGCAGTTTGCAATCTCCCCCAGGGAGTACTCCAAGGCCATCCTCTGTTTGAAGGACCCCGGCTCATCTGAAGTCCGCGGGTTTGGGTGCTTGACTTTACCCTTTGGGGCGATCTCTTCACTATTATGTTTCAACAGAGTGGCACGCCTTTTCCAGCGGATCTTGCAAGAGTTGTGTGTCCTTGCTTCTAATTATTTTGACGACTATCCGGTGCTGGAATTCAAGCAGGTGGCTGCGAGCTCACACAGTACTGTTGTGACGGTGGCCTCTCTTCTTGGTTTCAGACTCGCCCAGGACAAAGACGAACCGGCTGCGCTTTGCGCTGACCTACTTGGCGTGACGCTCGATCTCTCGGATGATAGGCTTCTAGAAGTTCGGATCGCTAGCAAGAAGTCTCGAGTGGCCGAAATGTCGAAGTCTTTGCAAACGGTTCTGGAAGAAGGCAAGGTGGTCACGTCTTCCCTCCCTGCAATTTTTGGAAGACTCCAGTTCTGCGAGGGCCAGCTTTTGGGGAGGCAAGGAAAGCTTGCTCTGGCGGATATCAGGATCCTGGAAAAGTCCAACCAACGAGTTTCAGTCATTGACGCCTTGTGCAGGGATGCTCTTGAGTCTTTGAAGCGGAGACTGGCTGAATCAAGGCCAAGGATTATTTCTGCCTCCGAACCCCGCCCTCCTGCATTGGTCTTCACTGATGGATCTTGCGAACCATTCAATGACAGCTTCAGAGGTTGCATTGGTGGAGTGCTCTTTGTGTGGGGCCGTGGCATCTGGAATGTCAGAGTTTTTGGATCTCATGTTCCCCAACATTTGATGGACAGCTGGGCCGAGACCGGCAAAAGGCACTTGATTGGTCCAGTAGAGCTGCTGGCAGTCGTGACTGCCGGAACACTTTTCTTGGCGACCGTGTGATTTTCTTCACGGACCATGGAGGTGTACTGGCTGCTTTGATCAAGGGTTCCTCCAGGGATTTTGTGTGGAGGGCGCTGCTTCTGAAATTTGAGGATGCTGATGCGTGCGGTCCATGTCTGTACTGGTTTGCCAGGACACCGTCTCAGAGCAATATTTCGGACGGACCATCCAGAGGTCGATGGGATACAGTTTCTCAATTGGATTACATCAGGGACAATCCAAAGTGTTGCATTACTGGCGTTGAAACCATTCAAACTTGACACCATGTAGAGTGAAGTGGGGAGATGCACAATGGTGCAAAGTTTGTTTGATGTCAAAGAGACATCGATAAGAGAAGTTAGCGATTTGCGTTGCAAAGCAAAAGCAGATCTCCAATCTCGAACATTCCCCACGCTCTCTACTGAGATGGTGTGTTGAAAAAGTGTGCGCCATTGCATTCGAACATGTCCACTTGATTTGTGCTTCGAAGAGCAAGCTAACAGACTCACACTGCAAAAGCGCGCGCGCGCGCGCCGCGCGCGCGCGCGCGCGCGCGCGTCCGGGTACCAGGGTCAAACACGGTTCCTAAAAGGTAGTTCCTAATTTGGACACCCGTTGCATGCAGTCACCTGTACATGTAGGTGACTGCATCGTTCCTCATGCCCTAGTTGACACAACAAGGAATGAACAGTTTGGCCCAAAAACTTAAACCGCTTTCCCTTCGGGATGGCTGACACGCTTGGATCTGGTTTTCCTCACCTGTAGCTATAAGCTTTTCCTGAACCGAAGGTTCATAAAGTTTTATAGGTGCAGGTGTGATCGTGCTCGCTGTGTTGAAAGAACAGTGAGCCTGAAAATCCAGAACCTGCGGACTGTTTCCCTCGAAGAGTGGGCTTGGTAAGGAACCAAGCCAAACGTGTGGAGCCCTTGGCAACCCTCAGCCGAAAATGGTTCGGTTTGGGGGCCGATGATTTAGTTTTTGAAATCTCGATGGATGTGATTTCTTTCTCGGTGCGGTCAACTACGCTCTGATGTTTGGTTTAGGTTTTTACAAGTTTTCCGTTTGTCTCAGCCACGACGGTTGCTCTCCCTGTTGTGTATTGTCTTCTGAACCCGTTCTCCTACCCGCCCTCCTCACCCTGATCACGGGTTGGGGGGGAGATGCACAATGGTGCAAAGTTTGTTTGATGTCAAAGAGACATCGATAAGAGAAGTTAGCGATTTGCGTTGCAAAGCAAAAGCAGATCTCCAATCTCGAACATTCCCCACGCTCTCTACTGAGATGGTGTGTTGAAAAAGTGTGCGCCATTGCATTCGAACATGTCCACTTGATTTGTGCTTCGAAGAGCAAGCTAACGGACTCACACTGCAAAAGCGCGCCGCGCGCGCGCCGCGCGCGCGCGCGCGTCCGGGTACCAGGGTCAAACACGGTTCCTAAAAGGTAGTTCCTAATTTGGACACCCGTTGCATGCAGTCACCTGTACATGTAGGTGACTGCATCGTTCCTCATGCCCTAGTTGACACAACAAGGAATGAACAGTTTGGCCCAAGGACTTAAACCGCTTTCCCTTCGGGATGGCTGACACGCTTGGATCTGGTTTCCTCACCTGTAGCTATAACTTATGAGATTTTTTATTCTCACAGGGTTGGCTCAGACTGGTAGCTTACGCGGGCATCACCCAAAAATTGGGTGGTGCCAGTCTCCAGTTCCAAATGGTAGTCGAACTCTACGCGGGCATCAACCAAAAATCGGTTGGTGCCTGTCTCCAGTTCCAAGGGCAAAAAAAGCAGGAAGATCCGTCTCTCGGCGATGATCCGTCTCGGACCGGGATAGGTTTTTTTATTCTCAGGAGAGGCGCTCACCGGGCTGGAGGCAATAAGATCCGTCTCTCGGCGATGATCCGTCTCGGACCATGATAATTTCTTGTTCCTAGGAGAGGCGCTCACCGGGCTGGGCGATGATCCGTCTCGGACCAGGACATATTTTTTTATTCTCAGGAGAGGCGCTCACCGGGTTGGCGGTGGAAAGATCCGTCTCTCGGCGATGATCCGTCTCGCACCAGGATGGGTTTTTTTATTCTCAGGAGAGGCGCTCACCGGGCTGGAGGCAATAAGATCCGTCTCTCGGCGATGATCCGTCTCGGACCATGACAATTTCTTGTTCCTAGGAGAGGCGCTCACCGGGCTGGAGGCAATAAGATCCGTCTCTCGGCGATGATCCGTCTCGGACCATGATAATTTCTTGTTCCTAGGAGAGGCGCTCACCGGGCTGGAGGCAATAAGATCCGTCTCTCGGCGATGACCCGTCTCGGACCATGATGATTTCTTGTTCCCAGGAGAGGCGCTCACCGGGCTGGAGGCAACAAGATCCGGCCTCCTAGCTTCAGAGCTGCAGCGCCTCTTCCAATTGAGCTATGGATCCTTGCTACGCTGAAGACCCGACCGTTCATGGAGCGCCTGCCCTGGGTGGACGTTACCTACTGCAAGTACGGGACTCCGTACAGGAAGCAGACCAGGCTGTGGACCAACGCTGGAGGGCTGTGCAGGAGCGGCTGCTGGTGGGAGGCGTTTGAGGGGCGGTCAAGGGGGGCCTCGACTCATGAAGGGCCAGCGTGAGAAGGTCACCGTTGGAAGAGCCGTCTCCGATTGAGCTATGGATCCTTGCTAGTCCAGCACAGAGACTCCAGTGCCAGAGAGCGTAACCAGCCGAGCCAGGTCGCCCGAACGGGTGCTGACGCCGCTCAGGGGCATCTTGGCCACGCGTGTTGGGAAGCCCGCGATGAAGCTGTGGCGCAGGTAGCCCGCGCGGTCGATGTCGATGTTGCGCACCGTGTCGTCGTAGGTCCCAGCAAGGACCGAGAGGAAGTGAAGTGCTCCGAGGCTCCCTTCATAGGATTGTGCGGGTACTGCAGACTGCCCGCATCTGCGACTCCAGGAGGCTGTCTTCCTGTCTGGCCGCGCCGATGGGGGCCACGTCCCGCGTCGTTGTCCCAGAAGATCACGAACGCTCCCATCAGTTTCGTGAAGGCGCGCGCGACGGTGACGTTGTGCTCCACCACGCCCGGAGGCACCGCGGACTGCTGTGTGCACCGTGGGGTAGCTGAACACAAGCGACCTTCCTGAGAGGAGTACGCGGTTGAAGGACTCAACCAGCGCAGAGTCCAGGACGACCTGGGAGGCGAGAACTCGGACGTTCTGGATCTCGAAGTCAGTGCTCAGCATGGCTCGCTCCGGGTGCGCCCCGGCGTTCTCGGACCACAGCGCAGTCGTCGCGTCTGCGAACTCGATTTCTATCACCAGGTTAGGTGTGGCGGCAGCATCTGGCTGCAGCGCAGGATGCCCACCATGGTGGGGCGCAGCAGCACGTCCGCGTAGCCGCTCTGGTGCACCGGGGCGTCCGAGAGTTGTTCACCTCGTCAAAGCCCTCCACGGCCTTGTTCTGGTTGTACTCGCGGCCCTTCAGCAGGTCATGCACGGCCACGGTGCGGCCGTAGTAGTTAATGTCGTCACGCTGACCGTTGGCGAAGATCTGGATTCTCTGGATGAAACAGGCTGGGTTCGGAGTGGCCGTCCGTGTTTCTGACTCTGAAGGCGATCTTGATCGTCTCGGGGTCTATGAATGAAGTACCGCTGGTCAGCGGAATGCGGCAGACCCTCAAGGTGGCTGGGGAGAAGGAGCTCAGCGAGCCTGGGAAATACTGCGCGTCGTGCCGTGCTGTCACGTAGTTGGTGTTGCTGGTTTTTGCATCAACTCATCCTGTGCTCCGGCTGTGACTACCTCCATGCTTCTTTACATGTAGCGCAACACGCGTTTTCACTCGTACGGCAAAGGAGAGTCTAGGCCGCCGCGATGTCTCGGGCAAGCTGGTCGTAGCTCGGCGGAGGCAGGCGGCTCTGGTGGGACTGTCCGGAGCTGCGAGAGCTTGCCCGGGACAGGCCCCAGGAGAAGGGGCGTGGCGTGTGATTGGCCTGCGCCTGGACACAGAAGCCAGACTGGGAGGAGGCGTCACTTCCTCAATTGCTGCTGCCGGAGCGCAGCGTGAAGTGCTGGGGCTGAGTGGCGTCGTTCATGTTGTTGGCGGACCGGACGTCCTGCACGGCCGCGTCCTCGCTGCCCTGCTGAGGCCGGAAGAGCGTGTTCTCCAGCACCCAGCCCGTGCCGCGCGCGAGACCGTAGGCTGCGCCGCCTGCGAGTCCCACGGCCAACCCAGCCGTCCGCTGCGCCGACTCCTGCCGTGGCAGCCAGCGTTCCAGCAACCTCGCCCGCTGTGGCTGCTCCTTCTGCCAGGCCTCCCAGGTACTCGAAGGCCCCGCCCACGCCCTTGGCGGCAACGGCGACCTCTCCCTCCTCCGCAGCCACTGCTGCCGTCTCCTCTATGGCCTACGTCCTGCGCGTGCTGCTCCCGCCTCGTCCAGGAGGCGCTCTATGTCGTCGGGTCGACCCTGCGGCCCTGGGTGGGGCATCGCATTTCGGCGCACGTACTCGGCAGCGTCCTGGGGGAGCTGGGAGCGGAAGGCCTGCACCGCCGCGAGCCCTTGCTCTTCGAAGCGCATGTAGAACATTTGGCTCTTAGGCTTCAGATAGTATACGAAGAGGAAGCTATAGGGCTCCCGGGTCGCCTGCTCGTAGATCCTGTGCAGCTTGTCCTTCGGCAGCAGGGCGCTGAGCTCTTCGATGACGGCGTCCAGCTCAGCAGCAGAGGAGTTGCATGTTCACCCGCACCGCTGCGCTGGAGCCTCAGCTTCTGGGAGCTCACCCAGGTGCTGATTTGTGCCGGCCTCGAATGAAAGGCGTGTCCAGGGCGCCGTGAGGCTTGTGGAGCTGCGGGCTATCTGCAGTCGTCCAGGATAATCAGCACCTGCGGTGATCTTGCACTGTGTCTGGATGATGCCCCGCAGCCTTCGTCGTAGTAGGCCTGCTCCGTATTCACCCCCAGTTCCTGCTCGATGTACTTCTTGACGGGGATCCAGCTATCGTCGATGTTTACGCTGGGACTGAAGATATAGATTTTCTCAAAGACTCCGCGATATTGCTCCAGAATCATGCTGATCAGCGCCACGGTCTTGCCGGATTTTGATGGGCCGAGGAAGATGCCCGTGCATGGCGCCTGGGGCACCACGGGGTCCGAGGGCTGCTTACTGGTATACTCTGTCGTAGGAAACAGCTTGATCTTCCCCATGAGCTCGTTCCTTTGCCTTACTTCCCAAATTCGACGCAGGGAAGCCGGGCGGCGAGACAGCTGCTTTTTCTGGGATAAAGCTAAAGGCTGGCATGCAACTGAAGTACATGGGAAGCAAGGCGTGGCTGGCACCACACCTGGACCGACTGCTGGGGGACGTCGCTGTGCTTCACTTCGACTTCGGAGCCTTCGGCGGCTCGATCCCCGGGCTGGTGCAGCAGTCGGCGGGCACGCTGGACCTGTACAGCATGCAGATCAGGGCCAGCGCCTTCGTCGGTCTCAGTAACGGACCTGACTCGCTGGCCCTCACGGGCAACGTGGGCTGCGACCAGCTGCTGCGCAACGACGTGAACTGCACGGACGTGTTCACGACGGGCGTGGACGCCTCGGGCGCAGTCTCCTGCGCAGCGCTCACAGCCACCGGCACCGTCGCCGGAGCCACGCTGTCGTCCACGGGCGCCGTGTCAGGCAGCTCGCTGAGCATCACCGGCGCGGCCAGCGTGGGCCTGCTGAGCTCCGCCACACGAATCACGTTGCAAAAACAATGGTGCGACCGGGGAAGATGTAGGGAGGGTTGGCGTAGATCCACTGCCGCGGCCAGGCGGGGCAGAGCGCGTAGATAGGCCAGCGCATCCTGGCACCGCACGGTCACGTTTGTCGGTGGGCGCTGCAGACGCCGCACGCTGCTCAGTGCCAGTGGCTGCTGCTGCGCAAGGGAGCCCCACTTTTTCGAGAAGCTGTTGCGCAGCAGGACGTATGAGCAGGCAGCCCGACGCCCGGCAGCGCCCGGCGAAGTAGAAGCGCCTGTCCACCCTGCGCCCAACCAGGCGCAGCAAGGAGCGCAGGAAGACCGGGTCTCGTCTCAAGTAACAGCAGGTTTGCGACGGGCTCGAAGGTGTCGACGCCGCGCACCTCCAGGGCCGGACGCTGGGCGGCGAGGTAGTACTCCAGCTTTCCGGAACCGAAGAAGGGAGAGCAGCTTGGCGACTCCGCCCGGCCGAGAAGTCCAGGCGCGCCGTGCTCCAGACTCCCTGCGCGGGCGTGCCGAGGAAGGTGCCGGTGACGCCCACGTAGTCGTTGTCGGCCGCGCTGACGTACATCACCAAGTTGGAGGCCGTGCCCAGCCGGTACCGGCAGCCAAAGAATTAGCGTCTCCCCGGCGTCAGGGTGTAGGTGCGCGCAATGTTCCAGGCGAAGGCGCTCAGGGTCACTGGAAGCCTCCCACCGTTGAAGCTGGCCAAGGCCACGGAGCGCACCAGGTAATTACCCAGCGTAATCAGGGCGGGCTCCAGCAGCACCTCGCCCAGGGTGGCCAGCGTGACGTTGTCGGCCCCTCCGTCAAGGAACTCGTGCTTCAGCAGCAGGGCCGAGGCCGTCGTGTCCGCCTCCTCCTCCGTGTTGCCGGCCTCCAGGGTTGCGTCCAGGATCTGGAGGCCGTAGACGTCCACTGGTTGGGCAGGCCCGGCGCCTGGAAGTGCGCCCCGAAGTGCAGCTTTGCAACTCCGTTCGGAGGCACGGTGAAGTACATCTTGGCAGTGCTCCAGGCGCCCCCGTCTCCCGCGAAGCTGCCGTACAGGGGGTCGTAGACGTTGTCTACACCACGAAGTTGGAGGCCGTGCCGAGGGTACCGGCAGGCGAAGAGGAGCTCTTGCCCGGGGGTCAAGTTGTAGGTGCGCGCTATGTTCCACGGGTTCGCCGCCAGGGTCAGAGTGTAGCCGTCCACGCTCACTGCGCCCGTGGTGTGGGTGGCCAGGACCACGCTGCAGCCGCTGCTGGGGCGAACCGTCCAGTTTGCCAGTGAGACGTCCGTGGGCCCAGGATCTGCTCTCCTATGGCGGCCACCACCTCGTCGACCCCCCGTCGTCCGGAAAGCACACTGCTATTTGCAGGGCCGAGGCTGCCTCCGTGACTCCGAGCTTGTCCGCAAGGAGGCCGTCCACCTGTGCGATGGTGTAGTAGCGGAGCAGGGCGGCGGCGATGCTCAAGGCCGTTGCCGTGTCCTGGTCGGCGGCTGAGCGGTACGCCACCAGCGCCGAGGTGATTTGGTTGGTTGTGAAAACGTCCTGGTCCGGGCCCGTCCGGTAGGCCAGCAGCGCGCCCGTGATGGCCGCCTGCGTCTGCGTGTCCTGCGCGCTTGCCGTCCGGTAGTCTCCCAACAGGGCGTCCACTTGCGCCGAGGTGTAGTAGGCCAGCAGCGCAGCCGAGATGGCGCCGCCGAGATGTCTCCGCGTCCTGCGCCGTTTCTGTTTGGTAGTCTCCCAACAGCGCGTCCACTTGTGAGGAGGAGTAGGCCAGCAGCGCAGCCGCAAGGGCCGCGTCCGCCGCCCGCGACGGAGTAGCAGTCGGCCGTGATGCTCAGCGTGTCGTCGCCGTTGGCCAGCGCAGCAGAGAGAGGAGCCTCCAGATGCAGGTTGCGAACGACGTTGCTTCCGCGAACAAGCTCCCAAGTAGTGAAGCCCGCCCAGGCCGGCGCGTTAACAACTCCGCCGCTGCCGGAAAGCTGCAGGGCGGCGAGCTCCGCGAGGACTGCGTCGAGGGCGCTCTGGAGCGCGGTCTTGCTGGCTGAGAGCGCGGCGTTCGTGGCGTACGAGGCCAGCAGCGTCGCGTCGGCCTTGGCCCCCTGGAGCGCCGTGATGCTGGCGTCGCGGCTAGCAAGCCGCGCTGCGACGAAGGCCTCGGCGGCGAGACCCAGCAGGGCATTTGCTATCTTGGTGTCTACCTCCAGCGGCGTGTCCAACCCGTCCACCGTGGAGAGCAGGGCGGCCAGCGCGCTGGCGTCCGCGCCGAGGAGGGCGGCGTCCAGTGCTGCCGTGGTGACTGCGCCCAGGACACCTCTGAGACTACCTCCAGCGGCGTGATCCTCGCCGCTATGTCTAGGGAGTGCTGGTCCACCACCGTCTTGAGGCCGTAGTTGGCCGCCACCGTGGCCAGCGTGGCGTTGTTGGCCGAGGCGATGGAGCCGTTCATCCAGGACCTCCGGGATGTTGCCGGTGACAGGTCCTTCAAACATGTTTACATCTGTTTTCGCCGACGCCTTTAAGGCGTCGGCCAAGGAGCTAAGCGCTTCTTACTCCTCACGGGGCTCGATTCCTGCCGCGAGCGCAGTTGAGTACCATTCAGTCCGAACTCCGGCCATTAGAAGTTTCCGCAAAGCGAGGCCGGCTCCGCGGCTTCGGTCAAGGAGCAAGGCCGGCTCTGCACCAGGCCCGCACCAGGCCCGCACCAGGCCCGCACCAGGCCCGCACCAGGGTTTGTTTGGAAGTTCCGTGGCTACAATGATTTGACCGGTGGCGCCGGTCAATCGCGGTACCTGCGCACGACGCTCGAAAATTTCGGGACAAATCACCGAAATTTTCGGTAAACTGTCAACAATTTCGACAGTTTACCGAAAATTTCGCCTCGAGACCGTCCTTGGGTGGCGCGGGCTTGGCAGGCTGGTGCGCTTGCCGCCGCATAGCATGTGCTCGGCTACCATCCTTCACTTCTGATACCTGTAGTGTAGTGCAGAAACTATGCACGGCGTACATAGTTTCACCGGTCAAATAAAAAGCGTGGTACAGTTGTTCCCCCACGGGACAACCGACCTTGGCGCGGGCTCGGCAGGGCTCCGATGCCGGGCAGGTGGCGCGGCCGGGTGGTGGAACGCATTGAAACGAACCCACCACTTATGCTTTCGAGCGGCGCGCTCGGTATCGAAGCCACGTCGGCGGGCTGGCGCGGCTCCGATGCCGGGCAGGTGGCGCGGCCGGGAGGCTTCTATGCCAGGAAGGTAGCGCGGCAGGGATGTGGCGCGCTAGGTATCGAAGCCTCCACGTCGGCGGGCTGGCGCGGCTCCGATGCCGGGCAGGAATGTGATGCTCGAAAACACAAGTGGCACTTGTGTTTTCGAAGTGCCTCGGAACTGGAAACAGGCGCCAACCATTTTTTGGTTGCTGCCCGCGTGGAGTTCCGCTGCAGACTGCGCCGCGCGAAGACACACAACTAGAGAAATCAATGAGTCAGCTTCGGTGAGTCAGCTTCTGCGAGTCAGCTTCGGTGAGTCAGCTTCGGTGAGTCAGCTTCGCGCGCGAAGTTAAATATTTTCTGTTTGTGAAGACACACAACTAGAGAAATAAATGAGTCAGCTTCGGTGAGTCAGCTTCGGTGAGTCAGCTTCGGTGAGTCAGCTTCGGGCGCGAAGTCAAATATTTTCTGTTTGTGAAGACACACAACTAGAGAAATAAATGAGTCAGCTTCGGTGAGTCAGCTTCGGGCGCGGTGAAGACAGAGCACGCTTCTTTGCAGAGCACGCTCTTTTGCAGAGCACGCTCCTTTGCAGAGCACGCTTCTTTGCAGAGCACTCTCCTTTGCAGAGCACACTTCTTTGCAGAGCACGCTCCTTTGCAGAGCACACTCCTTTGCAGAGCACACTTCTTTGCAGAGCACGCTTCTTTGCAGAGCACTCTCCTTTGCAGAGCACACTTCTTTGCAGAGCACGCTTCTTTGCAGAGCACTCTCCTTTGCAGAGCACTCTCCTCTGCAGAGCACGCTTCTTGGCAGAGCACGCTTCTTTGCAGAGCACACTTCTTTGCAGAGCACGCTTCTTTGCACTCTCCTCTGCAGAGCAGCTCTCTCTTTAGAGGGGGTTTCCCAAATGGATTCTATTCTACCTGAGAGGCTCCTAGCACTCGTCCGTCCAGGAAACGACCTCGTCCTGCGAAGGATTCGAAACCTAAAACGCTGCGTGTGGCTGCAAAATAATGACCCCTAGATATGCGCAGCAATTTGGCTCCAGGTTGCATTTCAAGCGATGTCAAGCTTTGCCAAAGGAAAACCCTTTTCCCTTTTTTTGGGGACCCCTTTTTTGGGGCCCTTGTGTTCTTTTTTTTTTCTTAGCCCTGCAAAGGTTGGCTCGCTTGAAATGCAACCTGGAGCCAAATTGCAAGCATATCTAGGGGTCATTATTTTGCAGCCACACGCCTCCACGCAGCGTTTTAGGTTTCGAATCCTTCGCAGGACAAGGTCGTTTCCTGGACGGACGAGTGCTAGGAGCCTCTCAGGTAGAATAGAATCCATTTGGGAAGCCCCCTCTAAAGAGAGAGTTACGTGGGCCAGAACAGAGTCTTAAAAGGGAGGGAAGCCTGGAGCCTCTGTAGTCTCTGCTAGCGGAACTGCACCTCCAGCTTCCGCGGTTGGAAGCAGAGTTTTTGGAGACTTTTTGAAGATCTGCTTTCACCATGTTCCCAATCTTTTTTCCTTGTGTTTGTTCCTTGCTTAATTACGCAGAGCAACAAGATTTGGTGCCTGGTGGTAGTGTGCTTTCTTGAAGGTGCTACACTGGCCCGGCCAAGGTTTTTGTGGCAGCTCTTTAATTGTGAAGGCAAGCAGCGGAGCCAAAGAATCCAGAAGAGCCTGCCGAACTTGTCACCGCCTTCGTCACCGGGTCTAACGCGCCAACCTGCCGAACGTCCAGAGTGACTTCCAGGGCTCGAAATCTTGGCAAGTTTGAGTCAATATTGAATCGGCTTAAAACAAAATTCGATCATTAACGGGCAAAGGTTGCCCGGTCGCAGGCGGGATTCGAGCCCCAGACCAGGGTGGTGCAGAGACGCAAGTTGTCAAAGCTTGATAACGCTTTAGGGAAGGAGCCAACCCCCCCCCCTTCTTGTTTGTGAAATGTGTATTTCACAAACACACACGGTTGTGGAAACAATGCTCAAACTCAAAACTTGAGTGTGCAACATTTGGCCCTAGGGTGTGGCGGGTGGGTTCTCTCGGTAATTTTGTAGATTGCCGTTTGCACATTGGTATGTACCTACAGCAACGTGCTTCACGCAGGTTTTTGACATCCTTGTCCCGCTTGCGTTGAACAGCGCAGACCTCGGTCAAGAAGGGGTGAGATGTGTGATACGAATGAAATCTCAGATGTAGAGGCTGAGAGTATTATTCAGAGTGACGGGTATGACATCGCCGAGCCTGAAGGTTCCCTTGTGCAGGAACCATCTTGGGGTGATCTGCCCGTGGTTACAGATTCGGCCAGGAGTCAGGTGGATGGGGATGGTCCCGTTCTTTCACAATTACAAAGCGAGCAATTTGTTACAAACAGTTTTCTCTCTAATGCGGAGTGGTCGGCTATTCGTTTGCCATGGGAAACCGGAATTTACAGGAACATATTTTCGGACGACGGCGCTGTCAATGACTTAGTGCCGAGGATGCCGGTTTCATGCAATTTGACACCCCTTCCAGATTCAAGCAGCTTGGAAGTGCGGGGTGCCAATCCTGTGGAACCGGACATTCCCGTGGTGGGCGGAGCCGTATTTTTGCAGGCGGTGTTCAGCTTGGCGGACAAGACTGAAGCCGACAAACGAGCTGCTATCATCGAAGCGGCTGTTCACAAATGGGTGACTATTGTCAAACAATATCCGGGGGACTTCCAGAAGTTTGACACTGGTAGCAGTGGATACCAACCGCCATGTGAGATTGGTGATGAAGATATTTTTGGTAATGTGCGAGCCATGGTGGGTGTGAGATCCCCTCTCACAATCATGAAACGGGCCAATAGCTTGTTGGCATTCTTGCGTTGGGCCAGCAACACGTGTGTGATTGTGGACTCTCCGTTTACAGAAGAATTGGCTTGGATGTATTTCAAACACTTGAAAGACTCGCACGCTGCGGCTACGGTTGCTTCTGGATGCATGTCTTCCTTCAGATTCGCGTTCTTCGTGTTGAGTTGCGAACAGTTGGAGAACGTGGTGAACAGCAGACGGTTGGTAGGACTTGCAGACCCATTGCTGACGAACAAGGGTCTACTTGCTCAAGCCCGACCCCTGCATGTGTACGAGGTGATGACCCTCCACAATATCTTGGTTGACAAATGCAGACACCTGATGGATCGTGTAGCTTGTGGATTTCTTTTGATTGCATTATATGGCAGATGCAGACATTCAGATTTGAGTCATGTCCACAGCATTGAGCACGATTGGACTCAGGATGGAGGTTTCCTGGAAGTGAAAACAGCGTGGCACAAAACCGCAAGGTCTGCGGCCTCGAAGACGATGCTGCTCCCGATCCTCATCCCGGCTATTGGTGTGAATGGCTCAGTGTGGGTGCAAGATGTTTCAGATGTTTTTGCAGCTGCAGGTTTGCCTTTTGGACAAATTGACGGGCCTTTGTTTCCCGCGCCAAAACCTCATGCCGATTCGGGGTTTTGCAAGAGAAGCATCACTTCACAGGAATCATCCAGATTCCTGAGGGCCTTTCTCCAGGTGAGTGATGAACAGAAGGAGCAAGAGGGCAGACTGTCTTCTCACAGCTTGAAGTGCACAACTCTGAGCTGGGCTGCCAAATTTGGTTTGTCCCCTGATGAACGGTCAATGCTTGGCAGACATGCTAGATCGACCCACGAGACGTTTGCACTGTATTCTCGTGACCTAGTGGTGGCTCCCACCAGAGCGTTGCAGAAGGTCATTTTTGACATCCATGCCAAGACCTTCGTGCCTGATGCCAAGAGAAGTGAGTATTTCCCTGCTCAATCTCAGGCCCGGCCAGCCACTGTGGTGGTGGCAGATGGTGAGCCTGACATGAAGCAGGAGCCGAATGAAGAGCCTGGTTATGTGCATGTCTTGGGCTCGATGGAAACCTTTCATGAGGTGTCCAGCTCTGCGGACAGCGCTTCGTCCGAAGCTGAGTCTGATGAATCCTGTCAGCAGGCCCCACCTATGAAGGTGCGGAGGTATGCACAGGCTCAGCTTGCTGCTGAAGAATGGTTTGCCCATGTGAAGTCTGGGATTCTGCATGCCAAACAGCAGAACCTTGATGGATTCATGAATTCATTTTTGAAATGTGGGAAAAGGCTTAATGAAGCCTATGTGAAAATGGATCAAGGCACTGAGAGGAATGCCCTCTGCCGACTGTGCCTGAGGGCAAAATCCATTTGAGCCAGTTGTGAACACAGCAGATGTTGCTGTCAGCCGATATGTACCGGCTCGGGTGGTGTAACCCTCATGCATGTGAAAGGCCAAGCAGGATGTCTGCTAGTGTGAAAATGTGCTGGCCTAATGCAACTGGCTCATGTGATGTGAGTGATATGAAAGGCAATGTGATGTGCCTTAGAATGGTGTCCATAGATTCGTGGCTCAAGCATGGATGTGACTCGCAACATGTTATTGCAACGTTTGTGTGTTTGTTAACTTGTTCACACGTGCATGTTGGTACATTGGTACTTGAAGTTGCAGTTGTTTGGACCCGGATCGCCATGGCCAGCATTGTGGACAGCGCTGCCCATTTCAGGAAGAGAGCACTGGAAGTCGGGCTGACGGCACCTCATGTTGATTCGCTGGTGAACTCAGGCGTGGCCAGTTTGGGCGCCTTCGCTTACAGTTTTGGGCAGCCTGGGCAAGCCATCAACGACAATGAATTTTCCGACTGGGTCCGTGCAAATATTGATGTAGGGGCCAACATCGGATGTGTGTCAAGTGCGAAGAGGCTTCTCTTCGAAGCTCAGACAATTTTGCTGGCATCTCTTAAGGAGTTAGTTACATCGCCAGACGCGTCGAGTTCGAGGAAGCTTCCGGTTGCAGAACGAGAAGCAAAGATGCAGGCGTTGAAGCAGAAATTATCCGGGGTGTTGGTGTCCGGCACCATGGACCCTGGTCACACGCTCTTGGATAGCGTGACGCAGATGTATGAGGCAAATCAGCTGAAGTATGTTGCACCGGAGAAGTGCGTGAGCAGAACACATGAGCTTACCCATGCCAAGCAGCCGACTAAGGTAGTTGAGTTGGAAGCAGAACGGCTTGTGGTGAAGGAGCAAGACAGCGTGCCAGATGCTCAAGCTGGCAGCGGGTTGTTGCTGCTAGAGGCGCTCAAGCGTCGTGGGTTGGCCTTGGTTTTTGCAGACGGCATCACGCGTAGCATTCACGAGAAGTACATCCAGCAATTGTTCGCCCACCTACACCGAGATCCCCCTCCAGGTTATAGCAAATGTACGTTGCAACAACTGGTGGCGGCCGACAAGGCGGTTTGGACGAAGCTCATTGAAGATTGCGTGAAGCCGCGCCGCAACGAAGCCGGCGTGCTGGAGTTGGACACCGCTTTGGCCCACGCCTTGGAATCCTATGAAGTCAGCTTTCTGTTGCTGCCCATGGCCAAACAAAAGGAGTTGCCAAAGCGGCCTGAGAAGCGTCAGACCGCGCCCAAAGAAGCAGCTTCCGGGAAAGGCAAGGGATCTCGATTCCAGCCGTATGGCAAGGGCAAGGGAGCCGGTGGGAAGAAAGGCAAAAGCATGGAGATTCGCGTTCCCAAGGACATCCGCGACGCCGGTGGGGTCGCCTTTTTGCCTACAGGTGAAGCCATCTGTTTCAACTACAATTTGAACGGTTGCGACCAAGCAGCAGATGGAGCGTCGTGCAGTCGAGGTTTGCACGTTTGTGCCAAGTGCTTCAAGGCGCACGGTTTGGCAAAACACGGCAACTGACTAATCGAAGCAAGCGCGAGACGGCCGAACCGCGACAAAGGTGAGGCCATTGATGATGATGCCTCGGAGGCAGACCTTGTGAACAATGTACAAATTCCTGACGTGTTGAATGCAGATTTGACCGTCGATTATCCGGATGGACTTGAGCCTGCGCTGGCTGGTCTACAGCCGCCCGTTTCAAGAAATTTAGTTTCACATGTTCCTTTTCTGGTGCAGCAGCCGGTGGCCCGCAAGATACCAGAATGTGAGCAGAGCAGAACTTCTTGGGTGCAATGTGCGAATCCATTCATACTTGAAGTGTTCGCAGGCTCAGGGAGAGTCACCGCGTGCTTGAGGGTTAACCAACTGCTTTGGTGTCGATCATAAATTGGTTAACCCTGTAGGTGCTGTCCGGCTTGCCGATTTGACTACGAAGGAAGGGCAACAGTTGTGCATGAAGTGGGTTAAAAGCCCCTTGTGTGCTGGAATTTTTGCCGCACCTCCTTGTGGCACTGCCAGCCGTGCAAGGGAGATCCCCTTGAAAGGCCGCCAAGGTGCTGGACCGCAGCCGTTGCGGTCGACAAAATTCCCAAACGGCATCCCGGGGGTACGAAAATTTTGGAAGCCTAGAGTGAGCGCAGCAAACAAATTATATGAATTCGTCACAGACCTCGCGGTGCTGTGCTTGTCCAACCAGCAGCTTGTGTGTATTGAAAACCCACGTTCGTCTTTATATTGGAGAACGTCCTTCTTCAAACAAATCTCCCATCAATTGCGGTTTGTTGCTCACCAAGCCTGTGCTTACGGCAGTGAACGGCCGAAATGGACAGCGCTGGCACATAATCATGATGAATTTGAGCAGATTTGCCAAGCTTGCCCAGGTGTTTCCGCCTCACACGTTCACAAGCCGTGGGGCGAGGCAATAGTGGATGGGAAACAGGTTTTTGCTACCGCTATGGAGGCCGCATATCCTTGGCCTTTGGCAGCCAGATCGCGAGAGCATATGCATGTGCTTTGCTAGCCCGTGGTTGGCTTCCGCCTGCCCAGCAGCTGCTTGACCAGCAGTACGACACGTCGCTGATCATGATGCGGGCGACTTCCGGATTTCAGCCAAAAGCTTCTAAGCTGCCCCCTCTAGTGCCTGAGCACAAAATGACCATCTCAGTGCATGCACCGTTAGAGGAGTTGCCTTGCGCTCCAATGGAACGCATTAAGAAACCCTGGACTCCATCGCATAACATGCTCACGGTGCCTGAGAGCAGCCAGTTGCTACGCACCAAGCCATTGCGGGTAAATGGGGGGTTGGAAGTTTCATCGGGGGGTGTTTCTGAGACAGAGTCTGTGAACAACCGTGTGCCCAGGGCGGAGTACCGTGTGCCCAGGGCGGAGTCGGTCTGGGGTGTGCCGTGGTCAGAGGATGAGTTTGTAACGCAAGCAGTGAGGGCTGGGCACCCCAAAGCCTTTTCGCATTGTCTTCCTAGGCCTTTGCAAGATGCTTGTGACACCTTATGCTCAACACCTCCTGCACACCTTGCTCAGCAACGAACCGCTTGGTTCAAGTATTGGGCGGATCAAGCTAGGGTTGAATCTTTGCTTAAAGCAAAAATGGACCCGGAATTGGCCGGACTTTTGAAACCCAAGCGGCTGCTTTTGTGGAAGGCTTTGCTTGAAGCTCATGGATACCCAGACATGGGGGTTTGTGATGAGATGATGCGCGGGGTGTCGCTCACGGGGGAAGTGCCTATGACAGGGTTGTTTGAAGCCTCTTTCAAACCGGCTGAGCGCACTCTTGAGTCTTTGTCCGAGGCGGCAGGCGCTAGCAATGTGGCAATCTTCAACAGCACGCGTTCGTCAGGTTCGCCAGAGCTCGACGCCGAGGTGTACCGAAAAACCCAAGTGGAACTAAACGAAGGCTGGATCACCGGCCCTTACGAGCTGGGAGAGTTAGAGGTGGGGGCCGTGCTAAATCGCAGATTCGGACTTCAGCAGGCCAACAAGGTGCGGTTGATTGACAACTTCAGTGGCAGTGGTGTAAACAGCACGGTGCAAGTGTGCGAATCACCCAAACCTCATACCACAGATGTGGTGGCGGCTGTGTGTTCGCGTTTGCTGCAGAACTGCGATAGCGAAACTGATGTGCTGGGTGCCGCCTACGATCTAAAGTCCGCATACCGTCAGGTAGGACTTGTGCCTTGTGCTAGGAAGTTTGCTTACATTGCCGTCTATAACCCTGATCTTAAAAAGCCTGAGGTTTACCGTCTAGTTGCGGTGCCATTCGGCGCGTCTCGTGCGGTACACGCATTTTTGCGCATCTCACATTCCATTTGGTGGTTGGGGGCGCGTGCCTTGAGTTTGGTGTGGACGAACTTCTTCGACGACTTCATTACCTTTTGCAGATCGCCTGAGGCTGTGAGCACTAGTCAGTGTGTGGAAAGCCTGTTTTGCTTGTTGGGTTGGGGTTACGCCGACTCTGGCGAAAAAGCTGGACGATTTGACACCTGCTTCCAGGCTCTGGGAATTCAAGTTGACTTGAGCGGTTTCAGGAAGGGCGTGATCCTTTTCGATAATACAGCCAAACGTAAGATTGAGCTTTGTGGAGAAATAGATTCCATCTTAGCAGATGCCACCCTCAAGCAACCACATGCTTTGAAGTTGCGTGGACGTATGCAGTTCGCCGATGGTCAGCTTTTCGGGCGGGCCAGCAGGTTGTGCCTCCGGGAAGTGAGTGCGCACGCATTCTCTGGCAGCGGTGAACGTGTTGGTCTTTGGTTGTCGTTGGCGCTTCGGAGATTCAGAGATCAGTTGTCCCGTGGACAGCCCAGGCAGTTGTCGCGTACCTTTGGGGACCCGTGGTACATTTTCACAGATGCATGCTTTGAGAAGGAACGCCCAGAGTGGATGTGCGGCTTGGGGGGGATACTGTATAACCCCTCAGGTGAAGCTATTGAGTTTTTCTCCGCCTGTCTCTCCCATGAAGAGGTTTGTGCACTTGGCGGTGATGTGAAGAAAACCATCATTTTCGAAGCTGAGCTTTTGGCACTCATTGTCGCCATTCATTTGTGGTCCAGTACCTTGGAAGGCCAGCTAAGTGTATTTTATGTCGACAACAACTCGGCGCGAGATGTGGCAGTGTCGGGTAACGCCCGGTCCGAAACTGGTTCGGCATTGGTTTCCATCCTTCTGAAAATTGAGGATAGTATTTCCCTTTTTCCTTGGTACGCAAGAGTGGCCTCCCCGTCAAACCCAGCTGACAGACCTTCCAGAGGTTCGACCGAGCATCTGAAAGTGCTTGGGTTGAAAGAGGCATGCTGTAAAAGTGTATTTGAGAAAATCATTCAACAAATCGGATAAGATGGGGATTGCATGTAAATAAATGTGAATACTTGCCACGCTGAACGTGTGCCAGCCTACACTGCAGTTTGTAAAACCTTGGCAGTGTGCACTACGACGTGTGCGACCTATCAGTGTGGATCTGCATGGATCGCTTCGTGCAAAGCGACTTTCACCTACCCCCGTTTGCATTAGAAAAGGAGAGTGTGCGCTTCTTAGTGCCGGCGGTTAGCAAGTCTGGTGAATGCTGTGTCGTGTGTGTTGGGGGGGGGGTTTGGCTCAAGACCTAAGCAAGTTGTCAAAGCTTGATAACGCTTTAGGGAAGAGCCAACCCCCCCCTCCTTGTTTGTGAAATGTGTATTTCACAAACACACACGGTTGTGGAAACAATGCTCAAACTCGAAAACTTGAGTGTGCAACATTTGGCCCTAGGGTGTGGTGGGTGGGTTCTCTCGGTAATTTTGTAGATTGCCGATTGCTTTTTCCCGCCCGCCCGCCCCTGCATGTGTGCCATCCTGGCATGAGCGACCGCTCATTCTCTTCCATGCCTTTTTCAAGAAATTGCATGGGGATTGCATGTAAATAAATGTGAATACTTGCCATGCTGAACGTGTGCCAGCCTACACTGCAGTTTGTAAAACCTTGGCAGTGTGCACTACGACGTGTGCGACCTATCAGTGTGGATCTGCATGGATCGCTTCGTGCAAAGCGACTTTCACCTACCCCCGTTTGCATTAGAAAAGGAGAGTGTGCGCTTCTTAGTGCCGGCGGGTAGCAAGTCTGGTGAATGCTGTGTCGTGTGTGTTGAGGGGGGGGGTTTGGCTCAAGACCTAATGTGCTTACCACTGAGACAAGGGAGCTTCTTTTGCTGGAGAAAGCAGCCGGCCGAGCTTGTCACCGTTTGTCACCGCTTGTCACCAGGGCGGTTTTGGGTGGAAAAAGCAGCCCGCCGAGGTGTCCCACGGTCCGTGTCACCCCGTGACACAAGCTTTCGTAATCTTCCAAAGCGAGCCGGCTCCGCGGCTTCGGTAAAAGCGAGGCCGGCTCCGCGGCTTCGGTCTAAAAGCGAGGCCGGAATTCTTTCCACCTGTCGGACTTCACTCTCCCACCGTCGGAATTCCGACTTCGCCTCCAATTTTGCCAGCTGCCAGGAATGCTACGGAGGGCAAGGGTTTTCGCCCGAAAAAAAGGGCCTGGTGCGGGCCTGGTGCGGGCCTGGTGCGGGCCTGGCGCGGGCCACTGCTCATGACGAAGGGCAGGCCGCTCGCGACGAGTGGAAGGCCAGGTTGTGCGCCCGCCCCTTCGTGCAACCGGGGAAGATGTAGGGAGGCGTAAATGCATTGCCAGGGTGCCAGACAGGGCAGAGCGCGCAGATAGGCCAGCGCGTCCTGGTGCCGCACGACCACGTTGGCCCGGGCGCCGCCTGGCGAGGTAGTACTCTAGCTTTCCGGAACCGAAGAAGGGCGAGTGCAGCACCGTGACGTCGCCCAGCAGCAGGTCCAGGCGCGGAGCTAGCCACGACTTGCTTGCCATGTACTTTAGACGCATGCCGGCCGTTAGTTTTATCCCAGAAAACTGTCAGATGCTGTAAATATAGCATCTCTCCCAGTCGCTGCCCGGAAAACTCCGGCTGCAATTTGCATCTCTCCCGGACTCGCCGCCCGGCTTCCCGGCTTCGAATTTGGGAAGTAACGCAAAAGGACGAATGGGGAAGATCAAGCTCTTCTCCACGACCGAGTACACCAGTAAGCAACCCTCGGCCCCGTGGTGCCCCTGGTTCCGTACACCGGCATCTTCCTCGGACCTTCCAAATCGGGCAAGACTGTGGCGCTGATCAGCATGATTCTGGAGCAGTGTCGTGGCGTCTTTGAGAAAATCTACATCTTCAGCCCTTCCATCAATATAGACGACGGCTGGATCCCCGTTAAGAAGTACATTGAGCAGGACCTGGGGGTGAACACTGAACGCAAGCAGGCCACTGGGACGAGTGGGACGAGGCGGCGCTGCGGCGCATCATCCAGCAGCAGCGCAAGATCACCGAGACGTCCAAGAAGTTGGAGATGAAGAAGCTGTATAGTAATCGATAACCACGCAGATGTGCCGCAGCTCCACAAGCTTCACGGCGCCCTTGACACGCTCTTCATCCTTGCCGTCACATGCAAATCAGCACCTGGGTGAGCTCCGAAGTTGAGGCTCATCAGCGCAGCGGTGCGGGTCAATCAGAAATTCCTGGCTGCGCAAGCATCACAAGCTGGACGCCGTCATTGAAGAGCTGAGCGCACTGCTGCCGAAGGACAAGCTGCGCAGGATGTACAAGCAGGCAACCCGGAAACCCTACAGTTTCCTCTTCGTGTATTATTTGAAGCCGAGGAACGAAATGTTCTACAAGCGCTTCGAAGAGCGTTTCGCGCTTGAGAAAGACTCCGATGGGAGCGGCGCTCAGCTTCCTGGGCCAGAAGCTGTTCGCCAGCTCCACGCTGATCAAGGTGTGAGAACATCTCCTGCTGCACCACCGTCGGTGTCGTTCAATCGCCCAGCATCCGCAGAACAGGCGGGAGGTGGTGAAGCGGCGAGATGCGAGCCGGTTGGCGAGCACTTTTGCCCGGCTTGTATGAAGAGGTGGGTTCCGTTTGGGTTGGCGGACGCCAGTGCCACCAATTAATGTAGGATCAGCCCTATTCCCAAGTCTGCGTTGGAGAATCAAACAGCAGCGTGACATTCTCGTCTCCACGAAAGCTTTCATGCGCATTTGTTGGTGCGCGATCTGCTAGAACTTTGCTTATAGAGACATATCTGAACATGTTGCAAAAGATGGATTTACACCAGGTCTTAGTTGTGCGTTGGCCTCTTACTCTTCCCAAGAGTCAGATGAAAGGACACGGCAACATGCTGTCCTCCCGCGACGGATACGTGGCCCGGCTCAACCTCCACACGCTGCAGTTGAGCCGAGCCTGAGAGCTTTGTGCTTGTGTGCTCACCACTATGCATAGCTTCTCGGCGCCAGCATTTGAGCTGTTGGAAAACACTTGTTTGTCCTTCTGCTTCTCGTTTTTGATCGTGTCCCCCCCAGGCAACTGAGAACTCGCTCCGATGAGTTCGGGGGTCTTTTGTTATGAGGAAGGCGGCATGTATTTTGTCCTTTTTTCCATGGGTTTGGCTCAGCTCCCTGGTCAAGGGCCGGGACGAGGTGCCCTGACTGGTGCCAATTCAAGTTAGAGTTGTTTCCACTGGCTCAGACCATTGGGCTCAAGTCTAGTCTTACTTGACCTTCCAGACTGCATGGCGTTGCTGAAATTTGTGTTGGCTTCGTGCTTCCCGTTGGCCACTGGCAACTCTCTGCATGTGGCAAGCATACTAAATCTCATCCGATGCTCGACTATGACCCGGTGAAGAAAGTATGCCTTTACCGAGAGGAAGAAAAAGGTGGCAACTTGTATTGATTGGCCTTGGTTGTTCGAAGTTTGACTCGAGTCATTCACGAGATTTCAAGCTCAGCTGAGGCACGATCAACCGCTTTTGTGAGTGCGTCACGAAGATGCACCCCCCGGGCAAGGATGAGCTCTGATGGCTTGTGCTTGATGAGCTTTGTCGCGTTTGCCGTTGGCGCGAGTTTTCGGTTTTTCTGGATGTGGCGACGTTGCGGCCAGTCTCCGGTTTGGTTTCAGAGGGCTGTTTGTGCCCTTGGATTCCGATGGTCCCTGGACAGCGGGGTGGGCACTGACAAAGCGGGCTGCCATCCGTACCGTGGGTGCCTGCAGGCTTCCATGGCTGGGGCCAGGTATCTTTTTTACATTACGATACTCACGCCAAGTTGAGCGCGAAAGTGAAGGCGCACATTCTTGATGCATTTGCCTCCAGGCTATTTACTCTGGAAAGTCCAGAGTCCGAAGGCGCTTCCCCTGTCTATTTTGCCGTCTTCTGCATCTCAATCATGGCTCCCTTCTCATCTTCTTACCAGGTCACTTGCAACGTTGATGGGGTGAACCTAATTGCCCTCACCTGCACCGAGTGTCATGGTGGGCATTGGAGCCTATCTCTGTGATGTCAGGGTACAGGTTCCAACGTTACAAGGGTCCCATTCAGAAGTCAGCGTCCATCTGGGGGGCTTTTTTTGGGTTCTGGTGGGTTTTGCGGCTTTGGTGGCTTTTGTGGCTTTGGCTTTCGGCATCGTTAAATTTTGGGCGCTTTTGCTTTTGTGAGCATCACCAGCAGAATCCTCAGCATCACCGGCATCCTCAGTGGTTGGCTTCATTTTTTTTTTGTAGCTTTTGTTTTCTGCATCCTCAGCATCCTAGCAACACCCTTTGTGCTTCTGGTGGCTTCTGCTGCCTGAGCACCACCAGCACCCCCCCAACATCACCAGCTGTCTTTGCCCTTTTGCAGAAGACACACTACACAAGAAACGAAACAATCGCTGAATGAAATCTCCACCCGTCTAGCCATCCACAGCATCAACCTCAAGAAAGATGGTCAAGAGGTCCCTCCACCAATCAAACATATGTCCATGGGTCAAAATCCCGTACCCCCAGTGAACATCCCCTTCCCCACTAAAGTAGACTAAAATGGGTTGTGCACCTACCCCAAAATGGTACCATTGGTTTTGACCCACAGCCATATTGGTCCCACGTTTTTTTCGTCGGCGCCTTACGTCTCGTATCTTTTGCTCTCCTCTCTCTTCAACGTTCGCTCGGAAGCCCTGGCTCAAGGGAGTCGGCGCCACGACCGGATCAAATCCGGCCTACCTGCGTTGGCCGGAGAATTGCGGATCGGAGTTGCGGGCGGGGGAGGTGTGAGGTGTGAGGGGTTGTCTCGTTTTCTTGTGTTTTTGTTGGGTGGTTTGGTTGCTTTGGGTTGGTTTAGGCCCCCCTTTGGATTGGTTTTAAAGCGCAATCTATTGCAGAGCCCGCGGCACGGCCCAAATTGGGAGCATGTGGAAGCACTTTGACTGATGACAATGACTAACTGGAATGGTTGCAAGTGCGTCGCTGAGAGGTCTGAAAGAGGCAAAGCTGCGAGAGGCTTCAGTGTCGCGACTCCCGGTGTTTCGCGGACAGGTCTGATGGAAAACGTAGCAAACTTCGTTGAGGTGTCGCCGAACTGTCTGGGGGCCTGGAGAGGACGTGCAGCTTGAGGGCTGCTTGTGGCATAGTCCAGTGGTTTGTGGTTGTATCACATGCCCAGTGTCCATCTTGTTTTGCGGCTCAAGCGTGAAACTTCAGTAATGGATGAACAAGGAGCTTTCCGCTTTGCTCGCCGTTACAGCTTGATGCTCGGGAAATCGGGAACTTACGAACGAGAAGGGCAGGTGGTAGGGGTCCTTCCAAATTGAAAAGGATCTGCATCCAGTGAGGATCTCAATATGTCCAACGTTTGCGCCATGCCCTCCTGAGGACATTTGTTTCGGTTGCGTTTCTAGTACAAAAGGCAGCCCATTTGCACACGCGGCGGGGGGTTCTCCAAGAAAGACCCGAAGGAGTTGTCCGAATCCTGAGGTGCTGACTCGCCCACGTGCAGCACAGACTTCAATCAGGCCGAGGACCGAGTGTCGAAGACCTCTTTTCAGATTTCTCCAAGAGGGCAGCCCAGGACATTTGGGCCCTTTGGGGCCAAACTGAGTTTGAACTCTTCGGCCAGACGGAGCCGGCTGTGGCTATGGCTCGAAAGGGATTGGGCCTGGATGGAGATTCGTGTCGTGATGGCCCCCGGCTGTTGCTGGACGAGCCCATGCGCAGCAGGCTATGAAAGGTTTTGGCTGCAGCTGCGCGCCTCTCACCCCTTTGTTTCCATTTTTTCTTCTCGCGTTGGATGTGCTGGAGTGAGGCAGACATTCGACAGATGTCCATACCCCACGAGCAATTAGGGACCCTCCAGATGGTTGTTTTCTATTGTAAGCTTCCATGTTTGCAAAACAACATGCAGCAGGAAATTCTGAATTTGGAGAAGAACCTGAAAATAGGCGGTTCTGTTTGGCTTCCTCTGAAGCAACCTCAGAAACCAGGGCTTGAATTGACTCCGAGGTTGGCGCCGCGGAGGATGTCGGCACGGCACTCAGAGAATGCTCAGACTCTGCTGGCTGTCGATTTGGCTCGGGTTGGTGAACCAAAGTGGGTATCTATGCATCCATATTTTGTGTCGCAACGCACTTCAATCATGCTTGACTGCTTTTTTTTCTTTTCTTCCCAGACGTTATTGTAGGTAGTTAGGATATGTTCTGGAATGCCTGCGGCCGACTGGTCAATCAATCTGCTGCTGGAAGTTGAATCAGCCAAAAGCACACACGCACAGGCACAGCTGTGGCATATCACCCATGTTAAGATCCCGATCGATGGAGATTGCTATAGCTACTGACTGCTTCAACATGTCAGCTCTCAAAGATGTTTGATCTTCACGTCCCACACAGAATATGACCGTTGCAAGCAGCTTGGAATTGAACAGACCAAAAGCACGCACACACACACACAGGCACAGTTGTGGCATATCACCCATGTGAAATGGAGATTGCGGCGCAAACCCTGGACATGGCGAGTCATCTTTGGCATCGTATTTGGTGCACTACTTGCGTCAAAGCATTCTGTGGGATTTTCGCTTCTTTGAAGCCCTAATCTTTTAAACACGTACGTGGGTTCATCGGGCTGGTGCAGATGCTTATCAAGGTAGGAGCTTCAATCACCATCATGCAAAATATGTATCTGGGTGTGGCTCAAAATTAAGGAGCTAGGGTTACGCAGGTTTGAGTCTTTGGTTCTTTTTGCCAAGGTGCCATTATGGTACCTTTTGTTGAGCCACAGCCATCCGATTTTCAGGACCAGATGACTACCCCGCACACATCTCGCATCAGCATGGTTTGAACATGAACCGAAAGGCGATCCCTCAAACACAGGCACACCCATCGATGCTGCGACCGCGATTAGGACTTTGCAAGAAGTCTCGCCAGCAGCGGCGCCAGCGCATCCATACTGCCGGGAGTTTTAGTGGATTGACTCTCTCGGTGCTGGGGGGGGGGGTCGGCTGGGCTTTTCGGGGGCCTTACATCTTGAATCTTTGGGAGAGCAGAGGTTTGGTTACTTAGATCGACCGCATGATCAACTTTTTGGATAGGTCACTTGGCTGGGTTAATGGACATTCGGCTCTCGAGCGCTGCCTTGCCGTTTCGTCTAAGCAAGTATGGACTAATTGCTTCAATAGGGGTCTGACAGCAATGGTAATATGGAACATGTCGCAATCGATGAGCAAACATTTTGCTTGGCAGCGAGCAAAAGCGAGGGAGGTAGAGCTCTTGATTTTTCGCCGTTTTCAGAAATTGCCCTCATGCTGTCAAGCTCCCCCAAATGTTTCGCCTAAGCATCCTACGGTTCAGAACCGGCACGCTGTTCAAGTTGCTCGTCCTGCAAGAAGCCACGATCCCACCCTTCGGTGGCTGAAGACGCATCGTCCAAACCAACCTGAGCTCCTATTCATTACCCGAGAAAATCACGTCTAGTCCTAGCCCCTGGTGGGGTCGCCCTTATAATTCTCTACATGGAATGGGCAAGGCATGAAGCGCATGTTCAGCGGTCAGGGAAGGTCATGGAGCTCAAGCGCTGCACTATCCACGGCAAAAGGAACGATTCAGCCATACGGTTGATGCATACAAGTCCTCCTTGGGAGGTTGCATAACTTACAGTTCTGGTTTTGGTGCCCTGGTGTCATATTGGTGGGAAACCGTTTCCCCAACTTTGATGCCTGACGTCGGAGTTCTCTTGGCCTCTGATGGCTGATTGCGCATCGATCGCCAGGTTCATTGTTACATCGCGCGCACCACTGCCTCTGCCGTGGCAGTGCTGGGAGCCCAGTGTAAAGCAGACGCCACATGTTAGGGCCAAAAGTCCGATCCGGGGAACAGTGCATGGATCTGTTTGGCGTTTTGAGAGGGCCTTGATTTGCAGAGGACAAGCTTCATCATGCTTGATTTGGGCGATGAACAGACTAGGTGCACAAAATGTTACATTTTCCCCCAAGCAGTCGGCGGTTGTTGCTTTTGTGCAAAACGTGCCACCGCCATCAACGATGTGTTATCCATTTTTTCAGTGTTTCAATTTTCTGCGGGCCGACCATACAATGATTGTTTGGGCCGCACTCTCCGCACTCCCTTGACATCACTTTGTTTTCATGGCATCTTGGGCGGTGTCTTCACCGAAAACACTGGCTTGGGCCTTTGCGATCGCAGAGTTTCTGGTCTGGGCGGTGCCTTCGCCGAAAAAGTCCTTTCTTCATTGTGATTATGATTTAGTTCCAGTTGAAAGCTGCCATGCAAAAACATGCAACACAGATGTGAGATACTTGAGCTTCAATGCTTCATTGCCACCTGTTCGTGCCATACTCTCACTCTTGCAGGGTTTTTGAAAGCGCGCTGGGTTTCTTCGTGGTTCCTCTCGTCTCAGGGGCATGGAGTGTGCACAGCAAACCAGACGCTCAATTGGCCAACTCCGGCTTGGGCCTAGAGGACTTTTGCCTTACCAGCTCTCGCATACAAATCTTGCCTCGAGCTTTTGCATCTGCTTGTGACGCGGATCTCCATACCGGGATGGCTGTGCACCCTGCTAGCAGTGAGACCTTGTACTCCCGGGCCCATCCGATTACGAAGTTTGTGAAGTCGTTGGCGGAAAACAGGGTGTTTCGCCAATTGCGTGGTGCAGGCTTGCGTCACTGTTCGCGAGCAGAGTGCAGTGGACATCTTGCCATTGGAAGCGCTGGCCAACTTGCTCTCCGCTTGAGGTGCCTTTACCGCGACTGTTGTGGTGTGCACGCAGCGTGCACTCTTGGCTCGCTGGAAGCTTTGTGTCGCCTGGTTGTACTATGATGGGATATGGCGCCGAAGCAGCGCTGCAGTTGAGCCTCTTTAGCTCTTGTTGCCGCACCTGGTTGGCGCTGTCGGGCAGACAAAAAGATGGCCCAGTAAAGCGCTACTCTTGCTTGCGCCCCACCGCCGCCGGCTCTATGCAGGAGGCTGCGCCCAAAGGTTGCTGCAGGGTCTGGACGCTGCGAGATGCAAGAGCGTGATCCCTCCTTGTCACAAGAACAACAGGTTGCCCCCCTTCATGAATACGTGTTGCGTTGCGAGGGCCAAGCAGAAGAGGCAATACCCTGGCGCTGACATCACCAGCAGGTGGCTTGCGCATATGACGGCCCTTACGCGCGAGCAGATGCCTGAAAAACAGCTGGTGCTATGGACTCATGCGACGCCATCAGCCAGACGAGTCCTTTTTCTTTCTTTCTCAGGCTGGTAGCGAGAACGAGGTTCACACATGGCCGAACACAAACATGCCTGCCCAAAAGGCAATCCCAGATGGCTTCCCGAAGCTGCAGGCTTGCCCAGAATTGGGACGATGTCCTCGCACCCAGCCCCGCTGTCAAAGAAGTTGCTGGAGCAGTTGAAGCCCAAGGGGTGGCAATGCCCCGCTTAAAGGCAGACAGAATTCAGCCTCAGTAGGTGATGGTGGAGCGTCGACGCGCAGACGGCTGAAGGTCACCAGCTGGCGTTTGCGCCGGCTCGGCAACAATTCGGCAACACAGAGGCTTTGGCACGGATGATCTTTACCCCCTGACCCAACACCCTACCACAAGCGTTGCCAGAAGAGTTTGCAGATGTCGACAGGTGGCTTGAGCTTTGAAAGGCTCCAGTTGAGACTTGTTTTGCGCGATGGATGCCTTTGCATTGCGGGCATCTCGCAGGCAAGCTGCTGGTCGTTGCGTCACTTCAGCTGCTTTGCAAAGTCTGCTTTGCCTTGCGACCTGCGGCTGCGACCTCTGATGGCGCTGCAGCGGCGACCTGCGTAACAAGCTACACGTGGCAACAGCACTCTGCAACGGCAATTCGAAACATGGGGCCCGGGAATGGATTTGTTTAATTTGCCGCCTTGCAGATGGTGTGCGCAGCTGGGAGTGCGATTCAGACACTGCAGGTTGCTGCTGCAGGTTGCTTCTGCAAGGTGCTTCTGCAGGGTGCTGTTGCAGGGTGAGAGAATATAGCGCTATGCTTTTAGATGGAGGCTTGTGCGGTGTGCTGCTGTCTCGTTGCCGGAAAACACTGTTGTGCATGTTTTTTTGGTAGGAGTTGCCTGATGCTCGTTCCGTTCGTCCCTTTTAGTTCTGCGTAAAATGTAGTCTTATGGGTGTGCTCTGTATGTAGCTGCTTCTTTGTTGCCGGACGTTGAGGAAAAGAAAGCGCTTGGCTTTGATCAGTATCATGGTTTGGCAGTGGTACTCCGTTTGGGGCTGTTCTATTTCCGGAACCATGGGAAACTACAACCAACACCCGTCTATGTGCTCCCACACATTCCTGCTATTTGGCGTCTATGCTGGTATAATTGCTTTCTGTGTTGCCAATCTCCCACGAGCGGAGAAAACCGATTTGCCACTTGTCAAAGAGGTCCCGAATAAGTAAACCTTTTTTGAATGACTCACTGAAGGCATTTTGCGGGAGACTCTTTCCTTGTAGCCCCCCGCTTCCCTAACCAACATTAGACTTGGGATAGCGCACGTGCAAGGCAGCTAAGCCTGTTTGAGTCCCTTATAGCGATCGTATTCATCAGGTTTCTGGGGTGCTCCACGTGTCAGGTCTGCAGCCATCCTCTCTTCCGCCGAGGCATGGTGACACTTTGAAGATTGCCATGCTTGTCAGGTGGCATTTGGCTACTGCAGCATGTTAACCATTGCGAAAAGATGATGAACCATGAAACAGATGAAGAAGGTGATTCGGACGATGATTAGGAGGATGACGACGGCGATCAGAGCATGAGATGAGTAGGAAGAAGAAGAACACAACAAAATCCTGAAGAAAGATTAAACACGGAAGAAACCAACGAAGAAGGAGAAGGAGGAGGAGAAGGAGGAGAAGAAGAAGAAGAAGGAGGAGAAGAAGAAGAATAATGATAATAAGAAGAAGAAGAAGGAGGAGGAGGATAAGAAGAAGAAGAAGAAGAAGAAGAAGAAGAAGAAGAAGAAGAAGAAGAAGAAGAAGAAGAAGAAGAAGAAGAAGAAGAAGAAGAAGAAGAAGAAGACGAAGAAGAAACAGAGACTCGCAATGATGATGGTGATGATGATGGTGTGCAACGGCAATCTGGCTGTTGGCAGGGATCAAATTTTCTGCAGATCACAAGTTTCAGCCAGGATCTTACCATCTCCACCCGGGGGGATCCGCATGGAAATCTGTTTAGTGGAGAGCGGCCGAGCTTGAGCTCTGGACGGCAGGCTCCCGACGATGACGCTGTGAGTTGCAGCGACAGGCGGTAGGGTGACATGTCCAAACTGTTGGGATCGGAACCGATTGTTTTGGGGCTTCCACATTGACCTGTAGGAGGGGGGCGCTTCTTGGTTGACAATGCCCTGTTGTTGGTGCAATGACCCTAGCATCTTTTTTGACGTCAGGCAACTTGGTCAGACATGGCAGATGCCAGAATGAGCAACTCTGAAGAAGGAACAACTACATCATTTGGTGCGTAGGATATCCAAACCAGAGCCACAGGTTCACTAGCCAAGTTGCTGAATGGGGCTTCCCAAGACAGAGGCGCTTCATGATGCATCCGATCCGGGTTGCAGGAAATGCTGAATTTGTTGCGGGGAGGGTAGTCTTTCGTGAATGAGACAGGCACTTCAATGCAAATACACACACACATAGTATGTCTATATATATATATGGTACCCCCTCCAAAACCTGGAAGCTTAGTTTGGTAGACCTGAAGCGGTAGCAGAATGACCCTACAACCCTGGACAAATGCATACTGCTACTATTTCCGGAAGCACACTCTGGGGAAATGCATTTTCCCCCATGTATGGCACCTGTTTTCATTGGCCCCAATTTACTTCTGGAAGTTTAGTTTTTTTCATCCCAGTAAAAGCAGAAAGTAGAACATTTGGGCCCATGAACAGTAAAAGTAAAAGCAACAGCGCCAAACATATTTTTTTTCTATGCTTCAGTCAGTTTTAAATTTTAGCTTTCCCCGGTTACTGTAAACAAGTAAGTGCGCCAGCAGTATTTTTTTACTTCAGAAATCTGTCCTTCTATACCTGTCCCCAGAAAAAGTCCAAAGCAAACTGTAAAATGCTTGCCTGAAGTAGAGCAAGTCCTACTTTTTCACTTTTACTTTTTTACTTTTCATGGGTGCACAAGTTTGCTTTTTACTTTCTTCTACTTTTTAGTGGTCCAAAGGTTTTTTTTTTTTTTTTTTTTTTTTTTTTAATTATACTGGACGGAACACAATGTAAGCTTCCAGAAGTAAAAAGCGGCTAACAAAAAGTTCCAAACATGGACACCGTCTCAACTTGTTTATATATTGTATATTATTTTGCTTGACTTATGCAGGTAGTTCTGTTCAGGAGTAGATAAATATGCATTTTTCCGAACACACATTACGTTAACATTATTTATCATGTTCCAAATCAATTGGGTCACCACTTTGTGGACAAACTAAGATTTACTACGGTCTATATTTTGTCTTTCTAGAATTAAGTCTGAAGCCCCATATGCGACAAATCTCTTCCTGTCTTAGTCCACCTACGTGAGGTCTACCTTTCGTTGTTTGTTTCGTTAAATGTTGAACCGGTCCAGCTGAGCGCATATGTAGGCTTTCTTCTGCTGAATGTTGTAGCTTTAGATCATATGAAATGCCACTAAATAGTTAAATGCATTTCTTTTGCATCCATATGCGCTA